ACTTTCTTCCGTTGCGTCATCTCTCCATCGCGGAACATGCGGACGGCGTAGGGGAGTATCCTCGCTTCGGCATCCTTGCCTTCTGTACTCGTTCTTCTCCTTCGACGACTCCGCTTCCTCTTCTCACCTATTCATCGACTTGTTCTCCTCCGGTCGCGCGATGTTCTCGCTCAATTCGATCCGTCTGCCGTCTGCGGCTCCAGATGAATCTAGCGGATGAAACCCAGATCATCCGAGATGTTGGGTGAAATCAATAAATCCCCCCCTTCGGATAATGCCGAAGGACTGCTGAATGTTTAAAATCGCAATGACTTTTTGTGTGTCACACGCAGCTTAGGTAACGCCGATTTCAGATTACTCAAACAAAACGTCAAATTATTTCACAATGAATCTAAGCGTAATTTGCTTTTGAGAATGATTTACTTGACATCTCTAATCTGCGGGAAAGGCTAGTCCCTTCGGACATGCTCCAGTTCCAGTTGACAGTCTGCGAGTGACACGGGCTTATGCAGCCATCATTGCAATCTGTAACAAACGAAGACAACACACTGAGTGGAAGATTAATAAACGACTGCCTCCAGCAGAACTGTTCACATAGTCTCACAACGTCAAAGCAATTTTCTGCATGAGAAGCATGACCTTCACAAGTTCGTGAGTTGCAAGCTGACCAACAGACCGCAGCAGGTACACGTTGCGAGACAAAAAACAATGCTATGGATTCACATCCGAAAGTGTCTTCGCATGAATAAATATCCTCCTTCGCCTTTCCCGAAACTCACGACATTTTCGACAACCTGCTCTCTACGACTTCATGCACTACTCTGCACACGTATCCTTGAGTCAAACTTCCTTGGAATCAATATAGTATATAGTATATAGTATATAGTATATAGTATATAGTATATAGGAGGGGACTGTATGGCACTGTTGTTGCTTACTTGTGAGACTTGTCTTTCTCGGTCGTCTCGATGATGAGGGTAGACTGGTCACTCATGAACGTGTTGCCGGACCCGATACTGATCGCGTCCCCGCCGTGGCCTCCGTCTGAAACACGCGAGACACCGTGACGATGACTCCGCGACCTCGGGAACTACGCGAGACGAGACGCCATGACAATGACCCCGCGACCTCGGGAAATACGCGCCGGCGTCAGTCTACAATGCGGGCGCCGGTTTAGGATGCAGGCGCCGGTCTATGACGTGAGCGCGATGATGCGGGTGACAGTCTATGATGTGGAGTCAGTCTTTGACTCGGGCGGCAGTCAATGATGCCATCAGAAGTCTACCAAACAGGCGTCAGCCTACGACGCCCGCCGACAGAGCAAGAACCGCACACCGGAGGGAAAAAAACAAGAGGGCATCTAATCGAAGAGGCGTATTACGGCAGAGAGCAGATGATGAGTGAGATGCTCACCTCTCACAAAGACTCCATGTCGGAAGGCTGGGTGATATAAACACACACAAACACACGTACGCATGATGAGAAAGGTGGGGACGCGAAGAAAACGCGAGCAAATAAACGCGCTGCGACAGATAGTAAGCAGAGACATAGAGAGAGAGAGAGAGAGAGAGAGAGAGAGAGATAGAGAGAGAGAGAGAGAGCGTCCTCTAGCGAACACGCTCGAAATTACAGCGCGAAATATACTCCGCATTTAATGACGATCGTTTTACGCGAAAGCGCAGACGTGTAATTGAGAGATCTAACGCGTGAACTTAGCTACGTACGTTACGCGTGCACGCACATCGAACAGAAATACAGCTGTGCATCTGACGCGTTCAACGTTACCTGTGACGAAGCACTGCAAACGGTATATACAAGGCGAAATATTTGTAACAAATACACGGTTCTTCTACCATGATGAAAATTAGACGGTTATACAATTATAGCAAAGAGAAAAAATCAATTGCACAATACACGTTAACATACGACGGCACTGAAATCAGATTTACACGCTTTTACTTCTTTATGAACGCAATTATTCCAACCGTACATGCTTTAGCTAGAGCGCACCAAATATCTGAACACAATAACAAGAGAACACCATCTTTTCCTGAAAACATGTACAGTCATCCTTTATCGAGACAACAGAAAGGGACAAGCCAATCGTCAAAAGTTGAAGGAAATAGGCAGTGGTAGAGGGATGTAGGTAAGCGGCCCAAGATTATTTATAGTTTTATCGTAAATTTGACATCGTGATATCGATGAGCCATATATCGATCTAGTTCATATTACATTTTCCGTGGGAACTCAAACCTGACGTTGGCTTGGCAAGGGATGACCGTACTTGTGATTATACCACATCCTCAGACTAATTCTACAGAAACCCGCGTCATCGTCATCGCCTACTGTCTACAAAGCGCGACATGCAGTTCGATGGCAGAAGTCGCGTGCAAAGCCAGCCAAGAGCAAGAAGCCAGACCCGCTAACTAGCCCGCCAGCACGCATGCAGAAACACCCTGCTATCTACAAACAAAGCAGAGCCCCCCCCCACGCTACCCCGCAAATAAACAAACGGACGTAGCAAAGCGATGCGCTCAACGAAAGTCACCTTCTGACGGCGAGAAATAATTCTACAGCTCAAACGATTAGTCCGTAAGGGGGGTTAAAAAAGAGAAACGAAGACGACCGAAGGAAGAGAAAATCGGCACTCTCCGGGCGCCTCACTGCACGTTAGTGCATCGAAGCAACGAGGAGGTCCGGCGGGGGGAAGGGACACACCCGCCGGAGGATGCACTAAAGTCATGAAAGGCGGAGCAGCCATGTTACATGAAGAAGCCATCCATGTTACGCTGCGCACGCCCCCGCCCGCGCGCGGGAGGGACCACGCTACCAGCACCGACTCTGGCCCTTCAGACTTTTCGCCCTGGCAGCCCTTGCTGCGTCAATCGCACCATCCGTACGCGAGCGAGCGAGCGGCCAATGATAGCGCTAGTACTCTCTACACAATCTCCGTCGCTCGTGCCGAACACGGAAATCATTGTGACCACGCGCGATCGAGTCAAAGTCGGTGTTCCCCGCGCGGTCTCCTAGCGTTACGGTAGAAGGTTAGTAGCCGAGAATTAGTCAAAACGAGTCGAGTGGCGGTCAGGTCAACTAACACCGCCCGACTCCCGTGGATTAGGACGTTAGTGTAGAAGGATCAGTCGAAGGGTTAGGGAGATACTTGTAGGCGTGCTATCGAGGCTTGCTCTCTTTTAACGTAAACGAAACCAGTCGTCGAAACAGAAAAGCAGCCATTTGCACATACACGGCTATGCAAGTAACGAATGCCATGCAATGTGTGTGTTTCAAAGATCAGAATCACCAGCCTCACAGTGTTTAACATCTCGTCATGTCGACAGTTGCAATCTTATTTTGCGTGCGCGCACGGGAGAGAGGGGGAGGGACACTAGGTGGCAGCACCTTACCCACGGCTCAGCGGGCCTAAAAAGATCTCTTCGGATGCGAGAACATGCGACGACATGTGACGCGGGGAAACATTTATCCGTAAACACTTTCGACACCCAACGGCGCGCGAGAATGAACAATTTGGCATCATCTACATTTGAAAGGAACGCGTCCACGCCATATAATTTGCGTCTATGTTGTACAATTTGCGGCTACGTCGGTGCAACCGTGGTCGCACGCGCACGCTTCGACGCACGCGACATTGAAATCCCCCTACAGAACCTGCCTCGCCCGTTTCTACATAATAATACAACCTCGTCTACCCTATTGTGTGCGGGCGACACACCGCGATCGATAGTTCAGTGAGGGCTACATGATTATTGATACGTGACGACTTTAATTATTATTGCCGTCATCCTGCTTGACGCCTCAATCCTCTTATATTTACGCGCGGGACTTTACAAGATTATTTCTCGATCGATGGATAGTGACATTAAATGGGTTTGACACCCGGTTGACCCTGTAGAAGCGCAGTGTGGATACACGTACGAAGATAGCTTTTACTTCGTACAGATTATCAGTAATATCACATAACTTCAATTCAAGAACACTCGCCTTGCCTACGGGTCACTGCCTTCGGCATATCTACTAAAAACAGCGTTGCTGAAAATGATACCGTAAAATAAGTAGCATAAAATGCACTCTACAACGCTCACATCTAATCGGGGTCAGGCAGTTAGCGACGTGCTTTTACGATAGCGACGGCCAATTTAAGTCCTCAACAATCTCTTTACTGCTCAATAAAATCTAGCTCTACATCCTGCAAAGTCCAATTTACTCGATCACGTGACAGATTTTGCTTCAGGCCAGTTGTTCTACCATAAATTCATCTGTATTGATCAGTTCTTTGGGGTTTGGGTCGGGGTTGGGGTTGGTAGGGTGGGGGTTGGGGTTGGGGTTGGTAGGGTGGGGGTTCATAGACGGAACTACGCGTGGTGACGGATGAGACCATGTCGTGAGAGATGCTAAACACTGCTAGCCTTAAATCGCACTACAAACACTTGCAGCCGCCAGCACACGCACATACAGGCCACCTGCAAGAGTGCTGCTGCTGCTGCTGCTGCTGCTGCTGCTGCTGCTGCTGCTGCTGCTGCTGCGCATGATTAATAGAGTTAGTCGACAGACAGAGATCAACCCCGGCACGCGCGCGCATACTGCTGTCTACAAACTCACCCACCTTGTACGTCCAAATGACCTGCAAAGGGGGCAAGGACGCATGAGAGACAAATAACCGCATACAGAGCAACGCGGCACGGCATCGCGCGAACAACGTCATCTCTTCGTTCGGTCCTCCTGTAGTTCCGCTACTCAGCTACTGTATTGTAGCGAGGATCCTCGTTGAAGTATAGACCGGCATCACAAGGTTGCAATCACGTAAACTAATTACACGCTTTGCAGGCACTTAGGTAGGTTTTAAAAGGTTACAAGGACGTGTCACACGCGGTTAGAGGTGACATGTGACATCGTGGTTAGAGGTGACGTGGGGGGAATTATAATTAGGTATAAAGCTCCTGCAAAAATCTCTCTGAGCAGTGTTTTGCTTCACAGACCCAGTAAAAAATGACTGAATGAGACTAAATCCCCAATTCAAGGCACGTCTGGAGTGTTTCCTCTAAACGGTGCACAGAACAAGTGCACGTTCAAACTAATACTTCACTATCTGTGGGGAAAACACTAATAGTGGTGTACTACACAAAATCATGGTACGAAATAATTCCACACAAATAAAATAAACGGCTAAAGCTTAAGAGTATAGGGATGTATCGGCTCACTATGTCAACACTGCTACAAAGTCGATGCAATCATCACACCAGTTAGTGTGCGGCACACCACAAAAGATTTACACACACACGCACACAGATAGAGAGATAGAAGCACACACACACGCACACACACCTACTGAAAGGCTAGCCTATCAACCGTAGATAACAACACACCCACAGACAGGAGAACCAGTTAGTTTGACGCACGAACAGAAATGAACGCACGCACACACACACACACACAACCACACGGAACACACGCCGCACGCGCGCAAGAGAGAAGCAGCGAAAATCCCCGTTGTCACAAGCGGCATCGTCCCGGCCGTCGCCGCGGCAACGCACTTACTGTCGCTCTTCGCCGGCGATACGAGACGCAGCGTGACGGACTTGTTGTCGACGGATGTCTGCCTAGGGAGCGTGCCACCGCCGCGCGCGCCGCCGCGCTCGGGAGCCTCTTTGTCGTATCCGGTGAAGGAGTAGGAGCGTTTCTTACGCAGGCTCAGCCGCCGTCGCAGCGTGCCCATCAGACCTTTCTTCTCCTTGTGTGGCACTGTTAGTAGTAGTAGTAGTAGCAGAGCGGGTAGGGGGGCGCGCACTCACACGTGAGGGGGGGAGAGGGTTGTGGTGCGAGCATGGGTTAGCGTGCAGTGAGAAGGGGGCGGTGCGAGTGTGGGTTAGCGTGCAGTGAGAAAGGGAGGGGGCGGTGCGAGTGTGGGTTAGCGTGCAGTGAGAAGGGGAGGGGGCGGTGGTGGGTTAGCATGCATGGACGGGGGGGCGGGGGCGGGGTTGAGGGGGAGGCACGATGCTGCAGCGATTACCGTGACCTGGTCGATTCCAACAAATCTTTCGAGAATGTTTGCATCGTGAATTGATACAGGACTTCCAGGTATGTACCCATATAATAGGTCATGTACTCCCGAAGGCCCGTTGTCGGAAACATCGTGCGCAGACGGTAACGTGACATCACGAGTTTAAAATATCGCGAGTCCCGACGTGAAATGTCGTGCGTGACATTTTACTGCTAATCGCAGTCAATGTAATTCACGGCGTTTCTGACAATGGGCTCCCCCGTAGGTTGGTACATGGTTAGAGTCTAGCCGAGGCATCCCTGCGTTTCAGAGTTGAACGACCTTAGTTACGATCACCTTTTTTCGTCTCCCGGCCCAAGAGAAATTTGGGGATTATCATTAGACACATTAACCCCACGGGTAATTAACAGAATTCCAAAACTTTTCAATTTGATTCGAATCTGTTGAAATCGACCAGAGCTGTTTGACAATCTCTCTGTCTGTCTGTCAGGAACACAGAGATCATCGTAGTAAAGCATTAGCGTGAGATCAGATGAGATAGACACATGATGCAGAGCCAGGTGTTGGCAGTACATGCGGGGCGCGGTGAGGTGTGCAGGTCGGCATACATCCATCCGCACAAACGCATACTCCGTACTCGCTCAACGATACAAACCACTTTCTCGCGAAATCTTAATTAATTGCAATCACTGCTATAAACGCTAGCTTATCGAGAAACGATAAGTTGAATCACGTCCGTGCATTCTCTGCCGGAGTCAGTGGTATTCGCCACGATATATATCCTCGTCCCTATCAACCTGTCAGTCAATCACGTCCATGCATTCCGTGATGGAGCCACAGAGCACTCGATATCCTCTAGGAATGTAACGATCCATCGAAATCGAATTGGATCACGATTCTCTTCCCTCGCTCCGATCCTCGATATTTTTCCCCGTATTTTCGATTCCACTTCGATACCATTTTTTCCTCCAATAGATGGTGGCACTACGCTATATACTGTGGAGTGTTACTCACCAATGTTACTCAGCGACTGTGTAGTGTATATATACTCTCTAGACTCTCTGAGTCTCTTTAGTATTCATTGGCAATTTCTAATAATTTATTATTGCAAAATAATAAAAATATAAAAAACAAGATAACATTTCAATATTTTGGGAATCGAATCGAAGGAATCGAATCGAGAGGCTAATATCGAGATACGGATCGAATCGAGAGGCTTGTGTATCGTTACAGCCCTAATATCCTCCCCCATCAACCTGCTGGCTGATGTCAGAACATCAACACGCATTTCCCAACGCGCGTCGCCGACGACGGAAGCTGCTGTACGTTGCATGCATGCTCCACGACAGCAGTTCAATGCCACCCTAACTAACATCCAGCTATCCACACTACTGGTGTGCAAACAGCCGTACGACGCGAGGCATCGAAGAACCAGTTTAGGACCTAGAGAGCCTTATAACGTAAGATTTGTCTGCTAACACTGTCACTATCCTAATAGTGAAATCACTACCTCAATCACTACCTGACTCACTAGCTGAATCACTACATTGTCGGGGGGCCCTATGGTAACTATAAACTATACTATACCCCTATGGTACTACAGTACTATGCTACTACATCAAGCTAGTGGTGCGCCAGACTGGCTCCGTAGCAGCCACGATTCAATATCATGTCAGTCAATCAATCACTGGCATGGCATTAAGTGTAGTGCACTGGCATGCAGCCATGGTGGAGTTACCGTGGCAACCGATGCGACGTTAGCAAATAAACTAACAGTCGCACACAAATTCTCGCGATTTTTCGTGTTTTTTTTTTCTTTCGCTCTATCCAAGACGACAAATAACTTGTCAATATCATCACTGACCAACTTGAACTCGCACAGAGAGGTAAATAGCACACGTTGTAAATGTCCGTAGAATAATTTGACAGTTGTAAATCGAGACGACAACGTACATTTATCCGTGCTGCTGGTGCGACGCTGCGTGGAGGATGTGCCGCTCTCACCAGGTGTCGCCTCTGCTGCACCTGCAGCATCAGAACTATCCAGCTGGTTCTGCGTATGGAAACAAAAAATATAAATAACATTAAAAATACAATTCGATGACGATGTCGTAAATACCTGAGCAGATAATTGCATCAGCATCACTCTTACATGTAAGGATAATGCTTAAACAAATCCTGACACGCCGGTATAGTAACTGAAGCCTGGACATGTTGAATCAATTACACTGTCTCCGTACATTACTAATTACTATCGCGCTAAAACCTCACTGACGCCTCCCCATGAAACATATGGCGCACTTTATAAAAAAAAATCAATTATAAAATTAAAATGCAAACAAGCGACTAATATCATTTTACCTGAATCTGAATTGGCTTGCAACACTAAACTATAAACATGTCTATCAAGCGAAAACTATTAAGTGATGTCCTAAAAACTATGCCCTTCGCAACGGTTTTGGAGAATTAATGACTGAGAATATGTGCACGTCCCACGGGTCTGGATCATATGGCAACAAGAGAAACATTATTGTAGCGCAGAAACAGTTTAACGGTGTCTAAAACCTCCGAGCAGCTATTATCGTTGTCATTAAAAAATAATTGAAATCATGTTTCCCCATCATTAAACACATAGAGAGCAATGGAAATGCACAGCCACAAGATAATTCATTTCCTCTGCATTTCAATCTTTGACCGCAAACATTGCGTAGAATCATGCATCATTAATATCTATTTGAATCTCTTTCTCTGCCTCATGCATACCAAGCCACTAAATCGTGACATTTGGCCCAGACGGCAAGCATTATCAGTGTGAATTAGTGTGAAAATGCAATCTTAGGAATGATCTGACACCCTAGCTGGTCCGCGGATTTCGAAAATAACTATATGACGGCCGCATGACGAAAATGTCCATAAATATTAGCAAGTAAAGTTGTCAAGCTCAAGCGTTCCCAGCGCCCCGCGCGGCAGAGAAGAGCCAGCTTACCATTTCCAACACCAGAGCGCAAGGAGAAAAGGCAAGGACCCACGGGGCCAGAGTTCGAAAACGTTCATTTCTAACATTGGCCAGAGAAAGAGAGAGAGAGTAGAGAGAGAGAGAGAAAGAGAGAGAGAGAGAGAGAGAGAGAGAGAGAGAGAGAGAGAGATGAGAGAGAGAGAGAGAGAAGAGAGATGAGAGAGAGAGAGAGAGAAGAGAGAGAGAGAGAGAGAGAAGAGAGAGAGAGAGAGAGAGAGAGAGAAGAGAGAAGAGAGAGAGAGAGAGAGAGAGAAGAGAGAGAGAGGAGAGAGTAGAGAGAGCGAGAAGCGAGAGGCGAGAGCGAGAGGTGAGAGGGAGAGGGAGATGGGAAAGAGGGAGAGGAGAGGGATGAGGGAAGGGCGAGGGAAGGGAGAGGAAGAGGGCAGAGGGAGAGGGGAGAGGGAGAGGAGAGGGAGAGGCGGAGCGAAGAGGGAGGAGGGAGAGGGAGGCGAGAGAGAGATAGCGAGATGAGAGATAAAGAAGGGAGAGACAGACAAGAGGATAAAAGAGAGAGAGACTAACAGAAGAGAGAGATTGAGGAGAGATAAAGGAGAGAGAGGCAAACCTTCTCACCTCCATGATATGCATGATGGTGCTGGTGGGTCGGCTGCACAGCGCGTGCTCCTGAACTCGCCAGACTGCAGATCGAGCAGCGCAGCATTCCGCAGCGACGATGCTGCGGGTGAGCACACCACCGTCTGTAACGGAAACATGAGTGTAGTGGGGAGGTGAAAGTCAGCGGCGGCGTCTCCCTCCCCTCCCCGCAGATTCACGGCGATCATCCCTCCCCTCCCCCGCGGATTCACAGCGTCTCCCATCACCCCGCAGTTCACGCGTCTCCGACTCGCCCCGCGGATTCACGCGTCTCCCTCCCGCCGCGATTCACGCGTCTCCCGCCCCCCAGGACTTCACGGCGTCCTCCCTCCCCCGCGATTCACCGCGTCTGCCCTCCCGCCAGCGATTCACTGCGTCTCCCGTCTCCGACCGGCGATTGTCACCGCGTTCTCCGCTCCCCCGCGGGATTCACGGCGTCCTCGCCTCACCCAGCAGACATTCACGAGCGTCTCGCCTCCCCCCGCGATTCACGCGTCTCCCTCCCCCCCGCGATTGCCACGCGTCTGCCCTCACCCCGCAGGATTCACGGCGTGCTCCGCTACCCACGCGGAGTTCACAGCGTACTCCCTGAGCACCCCGCGGATTCACGCGTCTGCCACTCCCCGCGGTATTCAGCGCGATCTCGCCTCGCCCCAAGCGGATTCACGCATCTCCCTCCCCCTCCCCCGCGATTCCACGCGTCTCGCCTCGCCCCGCGCGAGTCAACGGAGCGTCTCGCCTCCCCCACTCCGCGGAGTTTCTACTGCTCCTTCCCTCCCCGCGGGATTCACGGCGTCTCCCTCCCCGGGCGGATTCACGCCGTCTCCTCCCGCGGATTCACACCGACGCGTCTCCCATTCCCCGCGGATTCACGGCGTCTCCCCCCGGCCGCGATTCACGCGTCTCCCTCGCCCGCGGATATCATCCGCGTCCACTCCCCGCGCATCGTCACCGTGCTCTCCCTCCCCCCGCGCGGATTCGACGCTTCTGCGGTCCGTGCCGTGAGACGCGCGCGCAGACATCACAGGCAGGTAATGCCGTCACGAAGAGGAACATGTATATAGATATATATATATGTGTGTATATATATATATATATATGTATGTGTGTACAGGTAGGTCCCGTTTTATGACAGGGTTAGGTTCCAGAAAAACCGGGTCGTAAAACGAACCGTTGTCAAATTATAATGTAATTAAATGCTATCATTCCACCCACAACGCACGTGAAGCGGCAGCGAATCTACGCTCCCGTCTCGTCGTCAGACGTCGATTGCAAGTCGTTTAAACGAAGTTACATGACGGCTACTTGTTTTCGAATACGAGGATCGATGAAGAAACGAGAGGCAGGGAAGCGTCTAGTTGGAAAACACGTTCTGCGCCGAACAGAATGAGACTCGCTAAATGTTAATTGCATTTCTTCAGATGAAAATTAAATGACAGCGACTTCGGAATCACGAATTAAAGAATTACGAAGAATTTTTAATTGCGGAAACGAACGCATCTCACGGGTCTCATCAACGATTTTCAAATCGTGTGTGTGTCGCCACGGCGACGCACGCTGTACCGCACGGACGAAGCCAGACACTGCAGCTCGTTCTATTAATATCGACGCTGCATCCAGGGTTAGCTTCGTCTGCAGCATATTCGGGGCAGTACAGCCGCAGTGTCTGCGGTACAACACGTTGCCTCACGCACGCCTATCCTTTCACCCATCTGCGATTTTTCGCTGTGTCGTAATTTCTTTTAATTGGGCAGTCTAGTTTGCGTCGAAAGTCTGTTCGTATCTAGCCACGGCAGATGAATGCAATTAGGTTTTTTGCCGTATTACAATAAAACCGCTTCTGATAAAAAATGAATGAATTTCTATGGAAGCACTGTTCCCGAGATAGTAAGTGTTTCTCAGGTAATATATGAGCCAAGTGGCTATTTGACAGCTATAATGATATAAATAAGTGATAGACAGTGTTAGTAGTGGTGCAGTGGCATGCGGATCTATCACATTAGCTAGACATCGGTGGCTGATTACTTGATTGCTCTACATAGAATAGTGTGTCTGGCTGGTTGAATGCAACGCTATTGTAAACGTTTCACATCGCTACACAAACCCTGCTAGTCAAAGCTGTGGCTTTATGAAAGCCTGATCTCACACAGACAAAGGTTCGCGTTCAAGTGTACGGCAGATGTTTCATTCAGAGCTGCGTCGAACGCTAAGTGCAGACAGAAGACAAATCCGTAATATCACGATAACACCATCGCGAAAAACGCCACGTTCTAACCGGCTCGAGGCAACAATCGAATCAAACGATAGCGACGGAAGTTTGTGATTTAAACACGTACGCACACCTCTAACTCTAACTCTAAGTAACAGCTAGAAGATCAGCGGCAAAACGCTACGGCACACACTCAACAAATCGCGGCCAAGCACAATGAGCGATCGGCGCTTTTAGAATAGCCAATAAAGCGGCTCGAACGAGCGACGAAAGCACTCTAAAAAACATTCACAGCCTTATCATAAAAGATGGAGCGAGCGAGAAAGATATTCTGCAGCCAACAAAGCATTCTACGGTTATCCGTAATTTAATCGTTGGGAAGTTCTTCGAAATAAATAGTAAGGGTATGCAACAGCTTGGCAATACTATGGAGAAATTTCAGTGCCACTGTGTGAAATCAAAATATAGCAAAATTACGATAAGAAATGAGATCGCAGGTGCCATGGCAATGAATAACAGTGTTAAAGCAGTAACGAACAATGCTCTATACACACAAGGAATAGACTAAAACAAGTGCGAGTCGATGCAATAACGCTAAAAACCTAAATGCGATAACGCTAAAAACCTAAATGCGATAACGCTAAAAACCTAAATGCGAGAAACGAACCCTACAGACAGACACACCACATCGTAAAGGATGACAAAGCTAAATGCGACCGTCACCAGGGTGCGCTCAGGGCGCGTGCTCCGCTACGACGACAACGACACGTGTCAGTGTACCTTCGGCCTTTACGAGAGAGTTGGAGTGAAGAATGGTGGTTTTTTTCACGTGAGGGGTGCTGGTAACCGGGCCGTCTGTCTCACCTGGAGTATTCATCTCCTGCTCCCGATGCAGACGCTCCAACTCCGCTTCTATCTTGTCCTCCGTGAACTCAAACTGCAAACGACGAGATAAAACGTCAGACGAACGGCAGAAGCACGAAAATTCAGCCGATTTTTAATCTACATTCGAAGTAAAATTTATTCATCGAAATCAGCGTTCTTGGTACGCACGAGAAGCATGGTTCGTGGTTAACAGAATGTACTAACTTGCTACGCTGTCTAACGTAGCTCGTGCATAAATAAAAACACGACATAAATTAGGGCAGTGTTTATACATGTAAAGCTGAAATTGAACACGTTTGCAAATGCAAAAGCAATTTCACTATTATTTTCTCGTTTACTTTTATAGCTATCATTAAATCTGCAGGCAGATTGCAGCACTTTTACATTAATACGTAAAAACGCGAAACATAATTAACCCACGGAATTGAAATGAGAAACCATTCATATTGTAGAAAAGCTAAATGAATGTGACTAAAACTAAGATGCAAGAACCCTGCAACGATACAACAGTCTTGGGCAGATTACATCTCACAACTAGATAGATTTCATCAGGTGGTTACACTCTAAAGAACGGGTTCGATTGCGAGAATACATCTGATAACAGATCCCAGTCTCGCCATTCTCTCATTAAAACATAGCCCTGTCATCACCCTATTATTGCTTCTACACTGCAGCAAAACCAAAATATAATAGCAAATCGAAACACTACAGATACATTGAAAACCAGCATTTTTCCATCATGAACTAATGACAAACCACCGCACCTAGGCGCGTGAACAATCGCACCTATTATTGCTCGTCGGCAAAAATAATCATCGTAAATAATCGCCGACAGACGGACAGCGAACGTTGTTGCTCCACGCGAAAGCTTGCGGGCGGGCCGACGTCACGTGTGCATGCGAAAAACCGATCTACAATATTCACTTTGCTCGCAGCATTGCACCACGATTCCCACCTATGCTAATGTACATGAATATGGCGATCGGACATCGGTCTCCGTTGACTGCCAAGATAATTTTCTTCGGCCGTTCTCATACGTTCAAACTGGTCGCGGGCGGGCCGACGGCACGCGCGCATGGCTAAATCCGATCTATAATATTCACTAAAATCCGATAAAGATCCGATGAAATCCGATCTACAACGATCTGTCTCACCTCTACGGTGATCGATCCGGAGACGGAGTCTGCGTTGTTGGTGCGAGATCGCAGTGGGAGGATGTGGCGGGATGTCGGGGAATCGTGAAGCTCTGTCAGGTTCAACGACACCTCTCCCAGGAAGTCCTCTGAAAAAAAAACGATTTTTTAAAGCATGGTTAAATTTGAAAGACCTTGATGTGTGTGATTGCGTATCTGCCCGCACGCCTGTCTGCCAGTCTGCCTGCCTGCCCGCACACCTGTCTGCCAGTCTGCCAGCCTGCCAGCCTGCCTGCCCGCACGCCTGTCTGCCAGTCTACCCGCACGCCTGTCTGCCTGCCTGACTGCCTGCCTGCCTGCCTGCCTGCCTGTCTGTCTGCCTGCCTGCTTGTCTGCCTGCCTGCCTGTCTGCCTGCCTGCCTGTCTGTCTGCCTGCCTGCCTGCTTGTCTGCCTGCCTGTCTGCCTGCCTGTCTGCCTGCCTGTCTGCCCGCACGCCTGTCTGCCAGTCTACCCGCACGCCTGTCTGCCTGCTTGCCTGCCTGCCAGCCTGCCTGCCTGCCTGCCCGCACGCCTGTCTGCCAGTCTACCCGCACGCCTGTCTGCCTGCTTGCCTGCCTGCCAGCCTGCCTGCCTGCCTGCCCGCACGCCTGTCTGCCAGTCTACCCGCACGCCTGTCTGCCTGCTTGCCTNGCCTGCCTGTCTGACTGCCAGTCTGCCTGCCTGCCCGCACGCCTGTCTTCCTGTCTGCCTGTCTGCCTGCCTGCCTGACTGCCAGTCTGCCTGCC